CTTTTCTCTGCGCAGCTGCAAACCTTTATCAAAATATGCCAAGGTCAATGGACAGAGGCCTCATCACCACCTGAAGATGTCCACATGATCATATTCAGAACCTTTAATTGGAAGAATCTTTTGAACTATGGGGGGTGGGAACAATTCCAGCACTTTGTATATGTGATCTTCACGCCTAATTTCTCAGATTCAGAATCCTACCGATGTTACCACTTCATTTTTTAGTAAAAGAATTCTTTTCTCTAATTTATGGAGTCTAAGTATTTCTTTCTTGGATTTTGAATGGAGCACCGACTGACACTTGAGTTGTTTTCCCCTTTAAGATTTTCTAAGAATCTGGTATCAAATTATGTTCTATTCCATGTGTTTGTGTTATGTTGAATTCTAGTATGACATGGTTACTCTCACCACCCAAGCTTCCTGCAGTTTCAACTTCCTCTATCACTTCTTCTCTGTTTGTAAGAATTAAGTCCAGTATGGCTGTCCCTCTAATTCCCTCCTCTACCTTTTGGACAACAAAGTTGTCAACTGGGTTGGTTAGGAACTTATTTGATTTCTCGCTTGGTGCAGAATTAGGCTTCCAATTGATGTCACAGTAATAGAAGTCCCCATTACTATTGTAGTGTGTTTCCTACATATATTTGATAGTTGGTTAGTAAAAAGGACATCTATTTCTTCTGCTTGATTGGGTGGCCTATAGTATACACCTATGGCCACGTCATTCTTTTTTTATTTTATATTGACCCACTTGATATTCCTTTCAAAATGTCAGATACAAATATGATATAATGAAGTGTGAAGAGACATTACACAGTACTGACAAGTTACTAAGAGAGAAATGATGGGCACCAAGAATAAAACCATTTAAGTTGAACTTCAGCTGCTCAATGGCTGCTAATCTTCCCTTCTCCAACTTCCTGTGATTGACATTTTTTTCCTGGTGAGAACAGAGAGTGGGGGAATTTCTTCTGTCACAGTGGGGCAAATTGATTCAGTATCATAAATATGGAGCTGGCTTTCTCCTCTTTTAAAAGCAACCTAGTTGCTTGCACAATGTTTATATTTCCTAGGCTTTGCCCTGCCTGAATTGGCAGATTTGGGTTGTCTAAACATCTTCAATAATTTTCTTCTACCTCATCATCACAGCCCAGCATTTATTACTTTACACGGAATTATTTAAGCTGGGTTGAGTCAGCTTCTGGAACCTTCACAGGCATTTGGATCTCATTATATCATCTGCCAAGCTCACTGGCTTACCCTAAATTAAATTCATTTGTGAATTAGCGAACAAAATACCATCCCCAAACATATCCTGAAAGATGCCTTTTCTTACCTTCTTTCAATTCCTGTTTGCCTTTTGCTTTCAGCTATTTCTCATTCCATAAGAGAACAGGTCCTCCTATCCCTTGGTGTCTACATTTTTTCAAGATGTGAAACTTGGTCAAAATATTTTTAAAATCCAGATGTACGCGGTAGATAAATAGTAACACAGATTTCCAGTTGTAGAATTTGTGTTGATTTCCCTTCAGCAGGCCTTGTAGTTAACTATATATTTTTTCATTAGTTTCTACCAACTGGCTTAGAAAAAATGTTAAGCTGACTGGTTTAGAATTGTATAGGTGTCTCCTTCTAAAAATGGAGTCTCCTTGGCTTCCTTTCGGGATTCTGGCACTGGAACTGATCTGAGACATACACCCCAACTGGGTGCCCCCAGGGCATCAGTGATATAACTGGCTAATTCTTTTGTTGTAGCATGCCGGCGGCTGGCAGAGCTGGTAGCAGAATTGGACAGCAAGGAGGTTGGGGAGCCAGTCCTGGAGGCTGAGAAAGACTCGGATGAGGAATCTGTCAGAGGCAGAGATGGGGCCAGGGCAGGCTGGGAGTCATCAGCTGCCTTTGGGCTCGGACAGCAGCTGGGGGGAGCAGCTGGAACTGGTGCATGCGCATGCGCAGAGCTGCCAAAAGGAAAGAACAATTACGAAATCAGGGTTGACGTGGGAGTAAGGCCACAGGTGGACAATGAATGGCCCCTCCTATAAGGATTAAAAGAGGAGCAAAAGGGGGAGGGGGCTTTTGCAGGAAACAATTAGTTCATTCGTTCCATCATTGTGAAGATCTGTCTGTGCATCCTAGAGACTCTGTGCTAAGCCCTTCCTTGTCAGCACTGCGTTTGGAAATATTTACCGGGCAACTTTCCAGATAGATAAGGTTTGAGCTCCTAATTATACCCTTGAAAGACTGTTTGCCAGGCCGTTGGCTGAATGTGAATGCAAGAAATTCACATTCATTTAATAAAAGGTGTATGGTCAGGACAAAGAGTTTGCTTAGTGCTTTTTGGGGAAGCCTAGGACAGAACACCTTTCTACCTGGAAACATGTTGGTGCTTTTAACACAAGTGTGAAAAAAAAGTATTTTACTGACTGAAGTTTGCAAACATCATTCTTAATTTTCAGGACAAAAAGTATCTCTAAACAGGAAACTTGTATCTCAAGGGGGAAAACACTACATATCTCAATTAATTGGGAATCTGAACCAGTTCACATAATCTCCCACACTCAGTTCTCTGGGGCCTTTCAAGTATGGCCCAACTCTATCAGCTTCTTACCCTACTTGCTTGCTAATGCTTTCCATCGTATGGAAGGTGTTTCAAATTCATATATTGTTTCTACATTGGTATAAGAGGGGACAAAGGCAGACTTTCAAAATCCTGTTATTCTACCTGACAACAATTGAGTTTCAGTTGTTTTTGGTGGCTGTTTTCTGACTGGCTGATGGATACTGATAAAAACATCACAACCCATTTCTGACCTCCAACCTTCAGCCAAGAATTTCCCAGGTCTGTCCTTCATTTCAAAGTTTCTGTTGCTAGGGAATGACTCTCAAGAGCATGAGAGTTTGCAGTTGGAAGGTGGGTGACAAATCTTGATGAAATACTTATATAGTGTGAAAGTGGAACACAAAGACTTGAATCATGACATCACTGTGTGATTCCTCATTTATATGTAATCTTGGTGTTTGGATATACCACTTCTTGTTAACCTGAAGCTATCTGAATGTCTAAATCCTCATCTGAATGGTTTGTTCTCCCACATCTAACTTGTAAAAAAAATTAAATCAGCACTATTAAAAATAGTTGGCATCAAGGATAAAAAAAATTGATCATGCACAAAGTAAAGAACAAAGGAGATATAACTAAATCAAACTTTCCACTTTTAGCTGCCTGCATTCCATGTAATACACTTAGTGTGCACCATGAGTTTGGTTGTATTACACATGTACAAAAAGTGATTAAAAATACTGCTCAGAATCACTGGAATCTGATCCTGTGAGACAGATTCAGCAATTGCCGTTAAAGTAGCTTCTAATAAAGAAAGCACTATTTTTCTTTAATGTATTTTAACTGGGTATAGGAATCCATTTTTCCTGCAATGTTAACATTACTTGCAGTACTACCAACATTACTTGCAGTACTACCAGTACTACAGAATACAATTCATTTTTCATTGGTTTTCATGGACTCTTCAGGATGAAGATTTTAAGATTTATAGTCCAGTGCAATCACTCATGATAAAAGATGACTCCAATAGCACCTTGGAGGAACTTCTGATTTTTTCCCAGACCTGAGTTTTCGGTGGCTTTCAGACTGTGTGCCTCTAGTGAAGCTCTTGAGAACCCTTTGCTAAGATGCTTAGAAAACCCTACTTTTATCTCAGCTGAGAAACCAAAGATCAAAGTTTAATCCAAGATCATTTCCCCTCTCGTTGGAACAATTACTGTTCCAAGGAAGTTGCTTAATCTAAAAGTGTTGCATCTCCCTATGTCACAACAAATGGTTGCATCTTAGTGACTTTGACTGATCTTGAAAAAAGCTAAATTGAGCAGGACTGGTAGATATTTAAACAGAAGACCACTTTGGAAAATCCCAAAGCTGAAGATTAGTCTTAAGAAGCCAAAAACAACCTGAAAGAACTCTCCAATAAAATCCAGTCAATTTGTTCCTAAGCTAGATTTCTAGTTGGAAGAAATTCTCCTTAATAGAAGATACAGTTAAAACTAACCTGTGGTGGGATAATCTATCCTCTGCTACTTTACTTCATTGGGCTAGAGATGTGGCCGTTTGTATATAGATGAAGTTTAGGACAGTCCAACTGAAGCCAGATGGGTGTTGGCCAAAATCCTTGGGGTTATGCAATTCACAGGCATGGTTGGAGATAGCAATTGAGTCAAAGAGCCAAACAGGAGATGCCCATATTTGATGGCTAATGGCTGTACGAAAGGAAGAGATTAATTTGATTGAACTATGATAACCAAACTAATGAATATCAATAATAAACTTTCTATATAAAAGAAGGTGACAACTTTTTAGGAAAGGCTTTTCTGTGGAAAAAGGGGGAGGGGTCAGGCCCTTTGGCTGCTCCCTTCCCCCACTATCCCTGCAAAAGAGCTTGTAGCTGTTAAAGAGTGGGGTGTCAAACTCATGTTGGCATGGCAGCATCATGTGACATATCGGGATTTTTTCCCCCTTCGCTGAACCAGGCATGGGCATGGCCAGCACATGACACATCCGACCCATGGGCCAGGAGTTTGACAGTCCTGCTGTAAGAGTTTGCATCAGGAAGTGGGGCATCACAATTTGGAGGAGGGAGGAAGAGTGCATTTTTGCAGCCATGAATTACTTGTAATTTCCTGCCTTTGCATCATGCAAGACAACAACTATGAAGGTCAACTGAAATCGTTGAGTCTTTCTGTACCCAATCAGTTGGAATTAAAGATAAAAGATATCCATGGTGCTTCATTAAACTGATAACAGTTTTAATCTGTCACATTTAAAACTAGAAAAGGATTAAGAAGTTTTATCTGAAATGCAGGGGCATCCACAAAATCAAAAAGGTCAAAACGACAGCCACAATAATGTGATTGAAGCTTTGCACATAAAAATCAGGCATAGTTTTGACTGTGCTATCATGGCCACCATTTTGATTTTGGTTGTATCCTACAGACCCCCCCTATGAACATGATTGACCCACGCTGTAAATTCTATTTCATGAGCCCAATCCAAAACAAAGAATCATTAAATTGCTGGGCTCAGAGCATTAGAGATTTCACTTGTGCTTAACTTGCACAGATATCAATAAGATTCGGGAATGTTTGGGATGACAATCTTTGAGTGTATACTAGGAATACATGCAAAAATCTAGCAATTCAAATACTGAGACTCTAATTTAGAAACATTTTGTTTTGTATTTTGTAATTTATATATAAAAAATCAATAAGAAACAAACCAGAATATTTGACAGAAATATCCATAGTACAACAAAAAAAATCCAAACAACAAAAAATTAAAAATGTTGGTTTTAGTTATAAAAGATGAATATGAACATTTTAAAATAATCTCATAATATTTGGCAACTTACATCTTTGCAAGAGACAAATGCGATTAACAATAAAAAAAGCTTTACATGGAACTCAAATTGAAGATTTGTTCTTGAGAGAGTAAAATGCAAGTCTACTAAAAGTTTGGACAACTAGCCATATTCTACGCCCTTCTTTAATACTAGTGGATAAAGTAGGCATGTTGCCAATCTTTTCAGTCCTTTTGTTTTCCATTTTTTCTATGGAGAAACAAAAGCCATGTGAGAAGAACCATCAAGAGCTCCACAGAAAGGTGATGAGCTCTTCAGTCAAAAACTCTTCTTGAACTGTGTTCCAGCTGGGGCACTGGGAGAAATTTTACAAGTGAGAATACATTTCCAGAGGAAAGGGCATGTTGAACTCAACACTGTAAATGTTACTCTTAACTCTTAGCATAGAGAAAGTTACAAACACAACAAGGGAACTAACAAAGCTCTCCTTATGCCTATCTACTTGACCTGAAGTTCTGAGCCAAATTAGCTTTGCCCGTCCTTCTCCTACTCCTACCCAGCACTAAGCATGGCAAGCACAACATTAAATAATTCAGTTAAAACCATAGGATATAATACCAGGTGTTGCAGTTCAATAACGTGTTTCCATTATGTTCATACACAGTAAAATACAATCTTTTTTAAATAAATGTTTTATATACAAAAGGTGTTAAGACGCCACTAGAGTGGATTGGAAGCATCAGCAAATTAATTCATATCATCTTCTTCATAAACAAATAGTCTATAAAGCTGTTTAAATGGGTGTTATAGGTTACATCTTGGAAATACACACATGCAGCCTACCCAAGCTTTATAGAGCAGAGAATGTTCCCTCTGACACTGAATCCCCACTGACACGGGTTCCAACTATCGCTTGGACTTTTTCGTATCAGTCTCATCAGGCCTCTGGTGATCCTTCTTACGTGACACTGCGGGGCTCGCTTCCCTTCTGCGCTTGGTGGGTTGAAATTTTGATCTGGAAGTATCAAAACAAACAAAGAAGTAAGCATAGAATCCAGTGATTTTGATCAAACTAGTCCCATAGCTGCTTTGGGAGAAACAGTCCCCAACAATGGCATTGTTGGGATCCTGGCTAAATTGGGAAGCAAGAGAATTTAATGCCAAGCTGCTCTTCCACTTTGCCTCTTTTCGGCTGCCCGACGAGGCTTGTTTGGCTGCTCATCAAGAGCATCTTTGGAAAAGTGTCTGCTGCCACTTTATGTCCCTGGGCATCTTGACCCCCTGCCATTTTCTCATTTGTACCACTGCGTCCTATGTGATTCACAGTCAAGTCATGGATGAGGCTTTCCCCTGAAAGATCCCAAACATCTGGATACCTCCCACTGTTCTTCTCATCAGACCTCCTTGACCTCTGAATCCTATAAAAAACTGAATTCTTCCATGAGGATTCTGCTTAAATGCTTGAAAAATGTTCAATTTTTCAACTAAATAAAATGATATGAAATATTGTTATGTAGCCATGCTTGCTTACTGACTTATTATTATTGTATTTATGAATTGCCTCAATTATAACAGACTCTGGAGACTGCACATCCCAGGCATCCTTCCTCTTTAGCCCAATGATTACAAGGACCTTGGAGGTCTTCTAGTCTGACCCCCTGCTCAAGCAGGAGACCCTGTATCATTTCAGACAAGCGGGTGTCCAGTCACTTCTTTAAAACTTACAATGATGAAGCACCCACAACTTCAGAGGACAAGCTATTCCACTGGTTAATTGTTCTCACTGTTAGGAAATTTCTACTTAATTTCAGATTGCTTCTTTCTTGATTAGTTTCCATCCGTTGTTTCTTGCCTTGCCTTCTGGTGCTTTGAAAAAATAAACTGACCCCCTCTTCTTCTTTGTGGCAGCCCCTCAAATACTGAAATACTGTTATCATGTCACCCTGGTCCTTCTTTTCTCTAGACTAGCCATACCCAATTCCTGCAACCATACTTCAAATGATTTAGTCTCCAGGCCTTTAATCACCTTAAGTTACTCTTCTCTTCATTTTTTCCAAAGTCTCAACATCTTTTTTGTAATGTGGTGACAAAAATTGGATGCAGTATTTCAGTATCCTTGCCTTACTAAGGTTTTATAAACCGGTACTAACACTTTTGATTCTATGCCTCTGTTTATACAACCAAGGATTGCATTAGCTATTTTTAGCTATTTGCCGCACACTGCTGGTCCATATTTAAGTGGTCTATATTTAAGTGATCGTCCACTATGACTCCACAGTCCCTGTCACAGTTACTGTTTTTTAAGCCAGGTTTTGCCTAAGATGCACTTGTAGCTTTGGTTTTTCCTGCCTTGTTTTTCTTCACATTAAATTTCATTTTTTGGGACAGGGCCCACTGGTCAAGTCTGTTAAGATCTTTTTGGATCCTGAGCACTACAGATTCATGCACATGACAATCTGATACCTGGCTGAGCCATGAGATACTTGTCATATATAGCTTATTTCCTGATCCTATGGATACTTCCTTTGTTTTTGGCTAGCATGAGGAACTATCTTCCATGCTCGATCTTCCAAACTTGCTTGAGTGTCTGGCTTTTTCTGTGGTCAATAACCACCTTCATCTTAAAATGAGTTCTGCACTGCCAGTTGCTTGTCAACAAGTGTTTTCTACCCCATAAGGCTGTTACAGAGAAATACAGATGCTGAGATTTTTGGGTTTCGAACTATGATGTTACAGAAGTAAATAGGGTATAAATAGGGTATAAGGTATAAAATAAGGTTGAAAATAAGGTCCCACAAACTGTCTAGGACGAAACGGTTTTTAATTGTTTTCTGAATTTTCTTTTCCACTTTTCCTTCTTTATTTCATTTTCTCTTTCACATTTATGTATGTGTTGTTTGTCTGTTTTAATTTTAAAATTAATAAAGCTTATTTAAAAAAAACACAAAAGTAAATAAACCATACTGAAGCAAAATATGTTGTTTATTTGAATTAAAAAAATAAACAGGATAAAAGATATTTTCCCTCAATGTTACCCTCAAAATTTCGGTAAATATTGGAGGCTACCTTTTAAGCACAGTAACAGAGAAGCCCCCTGTCAGATCATATCTGATATTCAGTTATGGACAGCCAGATGCTTCTAGAACATTACAGAGATAAACTGTCCACTCTAGCTGAAGCCATATTTTTCTTGCTTCGTTTCTTAGTCACCATACTTATGGGGAGAGGGAGACTTATGGATGTGCCAGACATAACAAAGATAAGGCTCCCGAGAATCAAGGCCGGATCAACATGCCCTAGCAATGGCAGGAGGGAGTGCTGAGACGTTCCTCACCTGCTTGGTTGGCTAATGTGACCTGTGATACAAGGGGTGTGGAAAATATCTATTCTTTAATTATACTAAAATCACAGGAATTATTCAGTGTTGGTTTCACATTTGACCGTGTCAGTAAGTTGTACCCAATAAACCGTATTTTTGAGGAAGCCAAGGCCTCAGAGTCTTGAATTGATCTGTAACATTACTCAGAACCATGACAGGACTTGTGTCCTGTAGTTATCCCACCAGTACTGTGGCATCATTTTGGGTAGTAATGATCAATCAAAAGAAAGGAGGAGAATCTTAAGATACTTTTTTTCCACTTACTGGGCCAAGCGAGGACTTCTGTTCACTTTTGCAGTGGGAGATGACTGCTTCTTCTCTGCTAATTTCCAACGTTTTGTAGAAAGAGCTGGGGATGAATTCTGGCTTTTCGATGAAGCTCGGGTTGTTGGCTTGTTTGGCTGCTTCCTGAAAAAAAAATAAGCACAAATACTGAAGAAGGACTTTTCTAGGGCCAGGTAAAATGATTAAAGGCATAATCCCCAAAAATGGAGCTTGGGAGAGTCTATAATGTTCCCAATCTTATTTAAAAACCCCTGACTTCAATGATGAGGGGGAGGAGAGAGAGGGAGGGAGGGAGGGACAGGGAGGGAGATGGGGTTGACAGAGAGAGATGGGGTTGACATTTTAAAGTGAGAAAAATGTAAGGGTGTGTGGATCACTTCTAGCTCTCTTAGATGCAAAACAAAATAATAACTTGGTGGTTTTGTGTAGTCCTTTTACATACCCTTATATTTCTAAAACACTAGATCTATCATTATAATATGACAAAAAAGCAGAACTGGTGGTTTCATTTCAAGAATGGCCAACAAGCAATTGGCTATTGGTCAGCCTCCTTCTGTAAATACATGAAGGGATGTGGCTAAATATTGTCCTGTTCTAGGAAACACTAGCAAAAAATGCTAAGACATAAAAATGTCTGATCCCGTGAAGAACAAGTCCAGTTGTCACATCTTGTTTTAACAGAAGCAGCTATTACAATCATTGAGTAACAGAATAACAGAGTTAGAAGGGACCTTGGAGGTCTTGTAGTTCAATCTCCTGCTCAAGCAGGAAATTCTATACCATTCCAGAGAAGTGGCTATCCAGTCTCTTCTTAAAAGCCACCAGTGATAGAGCACCCACAATTTCTGAAGGCAAGTCGTTCCACTGGTTAATTTTTCTCACTCTTAGGAAATTGCTCCTTAGTTCCAGGTTCCTTCTCTCCTTGATTAGTTTCCACCCATTGTTCCCTGTCTTGCCTTCTGGTGCTTTGGAGAATATGTTGACTCCCTTTTCTTTGTGGCAGCCCCTCAAATATTAGAACACTGCTATCATGTCACCCCTAGTCCTTCTTTTCACTAGACATGTCCAATGTTAATGCAACTGTTATTCATCTTTTAGCCTCCAGCCCCATAATCATCTTTGTTGCTCTTTTCTTCAGATTTCCAGAATCTCAACATCTTTTTTATAACGTGGTGACCAAAAGTGGATGCAATATTCTAAGTGTGGTGTTACTAAGCTTTATAAATCTGTATTAATATTTCATGTGATCTTGATTCCATTTCTGTTAATGTAATCTAAGACTGCATTGACATTTTTGGCTGTTGCTGAACACTGCTGGCTCATAGTTAAGTGATTGTTCACTAGGATCAGATACTGCAATTGAGGCAGGCTTTACCTAATTTGTACCGTGATTTTTCTTGCATTAAGTATAAAACCTTACTTTTCTCTACTTTGAATCCATTTTGTTAGATAGGGCCCTTTGTATCTAACAATATTTCCCCTATTAATAATGTTTGGATCTATAAGTGCTTCCATTGTCGAAAGCCAAACTGGAATCTTCAAACAATGTTGTTCTCCCGTTTTCTCCCAAATTAACAATAAGGCATTTCTGATATAGTGTCTTTGAAAGTAACTATGTATCTTACTTTTGCCATATCATAAAAAGGCATGCCAACCCAGTTGTAAATCATGCCCCTCCAATGTATTCCTCAATACAATCCACTTTCATCCATGTTAGCACCACAGCTTGGTAATATAATTCCCAACTGGGTAATCCAAACCCACCTCTAATTCTTGCATCCTACAACATTTTAAAGTTAATTCTGGCTTTTTTCCCTTGCCATATATATTATTCTATTAAGTTCTTCAAAATATTTTTTCTCCAGTTTTATCGGAATTGTTTGGAACAGATACAATAGCCTAGGCAGTATATTCATTTTAATTGTTGCTATTCTCCCTATTAGGGATAATTGCAAATTTTCCCATTTTTCCAGATCTACCTTAATTTGCTGTTTCAACTCATAAGAGTTGTCTTCCTTAATCGTTACACATCTTGCTGTTAATTGAATTTCTAAATATTTTATTTTCTTAGTGATCTGAATGTCTAATCTTTCCATTAACTCTTTCTTCTGTTTTTCTGCAACATTTTTCACTAAAATCTGTCTTCCCCTTGTTTATTTTCAATCCTGCTACTTCGCCATATTCTTCTATTTTTTTCAATTAACTTCGGTCCTGTTTCTAACAGTTCTTGTAGTATAAAAACCAAGTCATCTGCGAATGCCTATAATTTATATTTTTCCTTTTTTTATTTCCATGCCCTTTATCTCCCTATCTTGTCTAATGTTTCTATTTAATACTTCTAATGTCAATACAAATAGCTATGGTGACAAGGGACATCCTTGTCTTGTTCCCTTCTTAATATTAACCTTTTTAGTCATATCTCCATTTACTTTTACACATCACTTTTATGGTTTATGATATATTGCCTTAATCATCTTAATAAACCTCTCCCCAAAATCCATTTCTTTCAATTGCGCTAGCATAAATTGCCAGTTCATGTTGTTGAATGCCTTCTGCACGTCTAAGAAGATTAATGCCATTTGCTTTTCTGGATGTGCTTCATAGTATTCCAAAGTGTTCAAAATTATTCTCATATTGTCTTTTATTTGTCACTTAGGCAAAAGGCCATTTTGGTCTGAATGCATAAATTGATTTAAGAATCTCTTTAATCTTTCTGCTATTATTGAAGCAAATATTTTATAATCTACATTCAATAAAGATATTGGTCTGTAGTTTTTTATCTGTTGTAAGTCCGAATCTTCTTTTGGAATGAGAGTGATGTATGCTTCCATCCATGAATTTGGTACTTTTGCCTCTATCAATAGTTCATTGAATACTTCCAACATTATGTCACAAAAAGAATTCTGTAAGGTTTTATATAATTCTGCTGGTAGTCCATCCGGACCTGGTGTTTTGCCATTCTTTTGTCTTTTTATTGCTTCTGTTAGTTCCATCATCGTTATCATTTCTTCTAATGCTTTAATTGTTTCTGGTATTTTAGGTAGTTCTGCTTTTTCTATATACTGTTTCTCTTTTCCTTCTGGAATTATTTCTTGGTCATATATTTTTTATAATATTTTTGAATTATTTCCTTTTTATCTGCATTTCTATAATAAAGAGTTTCTTTGTCATCTATTATTTGGTTAAACCATCTTTTCTTTCTCTTTTTTCAATCTGTATGCCAGCCATCTTCCTGCCTTGTTTGCATTCTGAAAAAAGTTTTGCTTAGATCTTTTAATTTTCTGTGCTAATTCTTCTTTATCTATTAAGTCTAATTAGTCTTTTGTTAAATTCATTTTGATGGTGGAAATAATGATGAATTACTAACAGATAGTCTTAGTGGCAATATATGCACCAAATATTAATCAAGAGGATTTCTATGATAAACTTTATAAGAAAATAACAGAACTGGAATATGAAAATGTATGTATTTTAGGAGACTTCAATGCAATAGTAGACGTGGAATTGGACTATATATATATATAATAAAAAAACACAGGAAAACATTACCCAAAAGATTTTTTTAAAATGGTAGAAGAGTTAGCTGTTCAGGACGCTTGGAGAGAAACACATTCTAAGATCAGTCAATACACATTTTATTCAAACAGATATCTGTCCTGGTCTAGAATTGATATCATGTGGGCATCAACAGAAATAATAGCTAACATACAAGATTGAAACAAGTACTTGGGCAGACCATAATCCGATAAGTTATATGGAAAGGACAAAAAAAGAGGTCAAGATGGACAATGAATGATTCAATATTGAAAGAAAAGGAATTTATTCAATTTATGGTAAAAGAATGTGATTTCTTCTTCAAAGAAAATAGAAAAAAAACCTCACTACAAAATGTATGGGACACAGCGAAGGCATACATTACAGCAGTGGTTCCCAAAGTGGGTGGTACTGCCCCCTGGGGGGGCGGTAGGATGCCTTAGGGGGTGCTAAGAGGCAAGGAGCCGGCAGGGGGGCACTAAGAGGGGGCAGGGAGGCGCTGGAGGTGGACCCCTTGCAGGGCGCAATTCAGGGGTGGGATACTACCGGTTCATTACTGTTCCTGGTAGTTTGGAGAACTGGTAAAATGGGCCCCTGGCTGGCCCTGCTCCTCTCCACCCGCTCCTCCATTCACTGCCCAGCCAGTCCTTATTGCGCATGTACAACAATCACTGACGGCCACAGCGGCATATTGGAGAAGTCGAACAAGCAAAGCCGGAGATTAGTAATTTTTGCTGCAAAAAGCATCCAGACGCCGTGTGTTTTTTACGGTGCAGCGTCTGGAGGTTTTTTGCAGCAAAAATTACTAACCTCCGGCTTTGCTCTGCTTCTCCAACATGCCACCACATTCTAGGCACTGGCCCTACAGGCTCACCCCATTGACTGCTGTACCACTCTGCTCAGACTTGCTTGGGCAAGTCCCTCCAGTGCAGTGGGCTCAATGGGGTGGATCTGCAGGGCCAGCGCCTAGAATGCGGCCACAGCGGCACATCGGAGAAGCAGAGCAAAACCAGAGGTCGGTAATTTTTGCTGCAAAAAACCTCCAGCCACTGCATGCTTTTTTAGGTGTGGCTACAATCTAGCCACACCGAAAAAAACATGTGGCGGCTGCAGGCATTCGTAACAAGGGCAACGTGGGCTGGCGGGAAGCCCAGGGACAACAATGGCTCAGCCCTGGCTTGCCTTCCCTGGCAGCCAGCTGCGGGACGAAGGTAAAGTCACAGCCATGGGAAGACGAAAGAGGCAGTCATGGGGAAGGAAAAGGGGAAACAGGGTGATGTAGGACTAGCCCAGGCCTTTGACAGATTAGGCCATACCTGCCTGGGCAGAAAATAGCTAGATAGGTTAAAGAAGGGATAGAGAGGGAAAGAGAGAGAGGGGGAATGAGAGAAAGAGAGGGAAAGAGAAAAAGAGAGAGAAATAGAGAGAGAAAAAGAGAGGGAAAGAGAAAAAGAGACAGGGAAAAGAGAGGGAAAAAAGAGAGAGAGAGAGAGAAAGAGAAGGAACAGACAAGAAAGTAAAGAAAGAAAAAGGGAGAGAGAAAGGAAGAAAAGGGATAGTCAAAGAAAGAGGGGGGGTGGAAGGGACAG